TGTTCTATGCCTGGCATGTAGTGAGCAGCTTGCCATCCTTAGTTGCTCTTTTACAATAACAGCAGCATCACCACCTTCATCACCACTCAAAATCTCTGATTCTAAGGAATGTGCACAATGAACTACACAAAGGTATTTAAATAGCTGCTGGTTGGTGCCTTCCTTCACCTGACTTGAAATGGCAAAATGTTTTAATTGCGACTTTTTTCCTGCCTCCGCCTATGACCATTCCAGCCTCATAAATGTGAAGCTGTCTTTTGGGGGACACTACACTTGGAAAGGTATAATGAGGTTAAGAATCTTTCTGTTGAAAAAACATTGGCAGCTGGACCTTCCAGGAAGTCTCAGACCATCAGTTGTCTTTCAAATAAGGAGAGAATGACCTTTAGCCCATGGAAAAGGGATAAGCTAAGCAGACAACATCACATGTGGCATTTCCATTGGACCTGACGATGACTGATGGGTTGAGAACCCAAACATGGAGGCCCTTTTTTATTTGCACAGCTGGAAAACACTCTATTAACTGTGATTTTTCGAAGGGGAATCAGCCAGTGCTTATTTAGAATCTTGGCATACTGTACATTAGAGAAGGTCACCATGGCTTTGTGAAATATCTGGGCTAGACAGTAGTCGGCCCTCTTTTCTGTTTTCAGTTCACTTGTTTTTGAAATAGTGTGAACGCAGAACTTTAAATTCCACCAGCCATTCTACAGTGGCAATGATTGCTTTAATGTATTTAAAATGGCTTGCTGCTTTGTCTCATTAGGGTTGGTTCCCTCAAGACAGGACCTACTTATGCATAAAATGAAATGCATTCACAAGCTCCAGGCCTCTCTGGATTTTGCTGGTGGATTGGAGGAGGCAGAGAACTACTGCAAGAGGTATAAAAGTCCTCAGACATTCATTTCCAGAAGGAAGTATCTGAGAGCTGCTGGCTAAGAACTGTCTCCATGGCTACCAGACTCCCAGGGAAGAAGTTCTGCACTGACGGCAGGTCCTTGACCACTAACTCAGGGACAATGTGATAGCCCTCATGATTCTTGCTCCCTCCCAGGGTCATTCTGTGGTCAGGCCTGGTCGGTTAGTCCTTTCTCCTTGGACTCTCCTTGGGGCCGCTGTGGTCCCTGAATGCTAATGCTTCATTTCACTGCAGAACTTGGCTGAGTCAGGGTGAAAATATGTAAGGGGGCCCTCTGGACCTCATGACACTTGAGATGAAAAATGTTATGCTGCCTCCATGCTATGACAATCTGAGACTATAAACAATGATTTAATTAATGACCATAGATGAATACTTGCTCACCGATGTTACGTGGTCTAAAACCCTGTAACTGACGCAATGTGAAGCCAATGTTTATATGGGCACAGATGACTGGAATATCACATTTTGATGGCACTGCTACTTTGAAGAGTGGCAAACAGTGACATTCCCAAGACTTTACATAGAAGCAGAATGAGGAAGGTGAAACTATCAAGAGGGGCTGACTCTGGTAGGAAGGAAAATAACTGAATGTGGACAGGAAGGGAAGGGGAACTATTGCGGAATCCACCGCCTGTCCAGCCAAGCAGCTACTATTACCTCCTTGGATTTTCTGCATTGCTGTACTCAGAACTTATAAATCCTAAAGGCTGTATTCTATAGCCAGGCCCTAAAATGCTCCGAGTTGACTAAACTGTCTTCAAAAGGATGCCTCAAAGATTCTTATAAACAATGACTAAAACTAAATTACGGTGTAATATTAGTTGATTAAGACAAGACTTCAATTTGAGTAATTTTCATCAGCTGGACACAGACAGTGGTTAAAAACAATAACCCATGACTAAATGCACACTAGCTGATGGGAAGAATTGCAATCTGATGTGGCAAGAAATAACAGCAAAATTTTTTTAAAAAAATTAAAAAATGGAAAGGAATTCTTTTTTTATAAGACCACAGAATAAAGGAAAAAATGGGAAAAGTATAGCTAACTCAAGGTTTTTAAATGTCAACAAAGTTCCAAAACTAATTTCAAGAAAGGCCTCTTCACTCAGAGGAAGTCTGGAATCTACTTGGCCTCCTTATCCTCTGCCTGTCTTCTTCCTATTGCTCTCTGTGAAATGAGGCCACATGTATAACTCTGAGACAAGCAGAACTATTGATACCTTTTAGTGAGGCAAGCCAGACAATGAACGAAAACTGCAGAATGTGTCATGTTAGAGCTTCAAGAATAATGTTAAAAACTTCCACGCAGCCCTTCTTTTTTTAGATGAGGAAATTGAGCCTCGCTTAAAAGACTGTTCAAATAGAAGCAGATAATTAAAGAAAGTGCCAAGCAAAGGGAAAGATGGGTGCTGGTTTAAGAGCCTGGCCATGCAACTGTTCTTGGAGAACCTTCCCACATTCCCATCCGCAGTACTGAGACCCCCAGAGCACGTATTTCTCCATGGGCTGCTTCTGCCCACACCTAAATCAGCAGGGAGAAAGAACTGGCCCAAGCTGAGTATCATAATCTCTTTGGGGCGTGAGGAAGGGGACGTGAAATCAGAATTTAGATTTTCTAGTCAACCTCAAATGGAAAAGATATAAATTCTCCTTTCCAACATTGTGCCTTGCCCACAGAATTGTTGCATGGATGGGTGGGCATGCATCGTTATGGGGTGGTCATTCCTGGCTGTGTGCATGCCATAGTGGGGAGGGTCTACCCACAGAGAAGAATGCCATGGACACCTCAGAAGAAACTGAGAAGAAATAGGAAAACAAAAACACATCTTCCTGCTCCCTCATGAGACCCAAGCTTCCCTTCCACCAGGGTTTTGAGTTACTTCCCTCTCTCTTGAAAACGGCCCCCACTTTTTTTAATTTCAGGGAACAACTTTGGTGGCTTGAAACTACCAACTTTGTCTTAGATCATCAAAACTGGAGCTAAGACCTACCAACCCTTCACTGAGTCATCTTTTCTCCATTGAAGTCCAAACACTGGAACTTTTATGAAGGATGGCTTAGGAGACCAATCTAAAGCAGGCCACTGAAATCCATCAATACTGCACAACAGGACCTATCTTCCTTTATTAGTATTTAGAGTCAACTTACCTACTTTGTAAACATCAAAGGAGCAGTCACACTGGTACAAGGCTGGGCTCTGTCAGAGCACCCAAGATGAAATCAAAGGCCGCTCTCATGGAGCCTGTAGTCTCAGAAGGGAGGCAAGCAAGGCCCAGAGATCAACATAACACAAGAGAATATCTAAGGGCCCTTACATACCAGAGACCAAGCTGCCAACATTATTGGCATGGCCTCATCTCATGCCCACAACATGTTTGAGGGGAAGGTATTGTCACTACCTCTGCTCTGTAGATGATATAACTCAGACCCACATAGATAGGTTTGGTAACTTGCACATAGTTTGTGGATACTGATTGCTTGATTTGGATACAAGGAGTCTAGACTCTTTCATCTATTAACTTGCTATACTTTGCCTTCTTGGCTGTGTATAAAATGAAAAGAAGGCCTTCATAGACTGGGCAGCCCTATTACTTCCTTCCCTGTGCTGTCCCCAAACTATTTGTTTCTGACATGCAACAGGGAATTGGTAATCAATTAACCTTCTGAATATAAAAAAGCTAATGATTACTGAACACTTATTATGTCCAGGTATTGAACTAGGCACTTAATATGCACCATTTCATTAATAAGAATCAAGGGAAGAAATGGATACAAACTTTCAGTTAGAAGGAATGAGTTCAAGAGATATACAGTAAAACAAGATGACTGTAGTTAATAACAATGTGTTATATACTTGAAAATTGCTAAGAGATATATTTTAGGTATTCTCATCACAAATAAATAATAAAAATGTAAGGCAATACGTATGTTAATTAGCTTGATTTAGTCACTTACACAATGTATACATACTTCAAAACATCATGTTGTATACCATAAATATACATAATTTTATTCATTAGTTAAAAAGGAATTAAAGGAAGAATTACTATTACTATTACCATTTCCACTTTAAATATTAGAATACTGAGGCAAGTTAAAGTTGACCAACTTAATTAGTAATGTAGGTAAAGTGATATGGGAGCATATCAAACTGAAGGTCTCAGTGGCTTAACACCTAAGTTTATTTGTTATGAACACTATTTATCCAGTGTGGGTTGGCAGAGGCAAGGGGCAGAGTAAAAGTCATCTGCTCCACGTGCTCACTCAGAGACCAGGCTGATGAAGACTGCTGCATCTCATGACTGTTCTGTCTGGACCATGTAGCTCCAGAGCTCACAAGAGCAGAAGAGAGTACCAACACCAGCTCTCAAATACTTTAGCCCAGAAACGAGTCAGGTTGATTGAACTCATGCCCTATTAGCCAGAAGCAGTCTTGAAGCCCCACCTACAGGCAAGAAGGCTGGGAATGATGAGAGACCACATGGATATTTGATTCACAGTAAATGTCTCTGCCATAGAAATTCTCCCAAGGCTACTCAGCTACTAAGCAGAAGAGTGGAAAGGCTTAACCACTCCAGTTGACTATGTCCTCAAAATTTGGGGCTGGGCACAGTGGCTTATGCCTGTAATGAGGCCACTTTAGGAAGCCAAGGTGGGCAGATTAATTGAACTCAGGAGTTCAAGACCAGACTGGCCAACATGGCAAAAACCTGCCTCTACTAAAAATGCAAATATTAGCTGAGCATTTTGTGGTACACACCTGTAATACCAGCTACTTGGGAGACTGAAGCACAAGAAACGCTTGAACTTGGGAGGCAGAGGCTGCAGTGAGCTGAGATCATGCTACTGTGCTCCAGCCTGGGCAACAGAGCAAGACTCTGTCCACAAAAAAAAATAAAAATAAAAAACAAACCAAAAAACAATTTGAAAGAAACTGTTACAAGTCTATCAGTAATCATTTAGATACACCCAGACTTTGTCTTAGAATTATTAGAACTCTCTGGTTTCTCATGAATATTACTAATTCTGCATAGGCAGGGGGAAGTTAGTCAGAGCCGAGCACATTGGGAAGACCCACCTTTGTTGGCACAGGCCATCCACTTTAGATTGTCTGCAAATGCAGCCTCTCGTCCAATGAGGTATGTGAAGATGCGAACCTGAAAGCAAGACAAATGCACAGCTGAGTGGCATTCACTTTTCACCATCCTGCGCAGACCACATGCACGGCTCATACACATGTGGCCTACCTCTTTAATGTTCCATGCTTCCCATCTGCAGGAACATATTTAAGACATCTGAAGTACAGTCAGCTAGAAATGTATTCAAAAGTGGGGCCTTTGATCTTTTAAACCATATGGCACTGGTGGTGGTTGTTTTCGGTGCAAGTCATGACAGAGGAGAATAACTGGGAATGGGAGACTGGCAGTCTCAAGGGCCTGGGCTTGCTCCACACATATGGGCAAGGATCATCTACGTCCGGACCAAATCCCCAACCATTTTCCTCATTCACACAGGAAATGCAGAGTGTGCTCTTCTTGGGAATAAAAATGCCCCTGAAAGACCCTCGACATTTCCCTCCAATGGTGAGGATAGGCTGCAGACACACCCTTACCATCTGTGGTGTCTGGCATGATATTAGAAGATAATTAACTGGGATGAGAGACACAGCCTGTGGCCAGGAGACCAATGGGGACTCTCTCTCGTCTTCCTAAGCTTTTGGTTCCTGAAGAGCAAAGAACATATGGAAAACTCTGGCTTTCTTATTTTCTATTGGTTTCTCAACCCTCTCTCATGAGGCCAGAACTCTTTCAAACAAAACATAGCCTAACTGCCAGATAGTACTTAAGGGTAAATGGAAGAAAAATAAGGAATTAAAAGGTTAAAATCCTTTAATTCAATTGAAAATGGTATGTGGGTCAATACTACACAGTCCAAACAAAACGCTTCTGATGGGCCGTGTGCAGACCTGTGGCCACCTCTTTGTGACTAAGGTCAGTGAAGACATGGCATTAGATGAATGACACTTAGCAGGCGGTATCAAAGGCTTTACCAGGTGACGTCCTTCCAGCTCCTCTAGTCTGGTGGGTCAAGCGCTCCTACTGCTCCTCCCAGCCTTTACTACAGTCATGGTTAGCTAGTATTTGCATAGCTGGTCTGTTAAGTTGATCTGCTCCACTGGAGTATCTGCTTGAGGAGGGATGGAAGGGATGTGTCTCCTTTACCTGGCTGGGCCCTGATGGAGCAATGCATTTGGAACACTGATACTCAATACATGAATAAATAAAAAGATAGAAATACTTACAGTAGATTGTAAAGATAAATATTCTGTTTTAATTATGCATATCCTCTAATCTGGGCATTATAACTTAAACGCTGATTGTGAGGTAATGGTTTCTTCCCAACTTAAAGGGATATTTAAACACACATTATTATTATGGAATGTCAGTATGTGCTCATCTGTGCTTGACAAGACCATCACTTTCTTTATCACAGATCCTGCAAGGGGGCTTCCTGGGTGGATGGGCAGGCAGACAGACCTCTCTTCACTTCTCTGGCTCTTCTACACACCATTCCTGTCAGAGTCACATTTGGGAGTAAGGATACAGTTTTTGTTTTCTTTTTAAAATTGGGAGATTCTGGCTTCTCTTGGGGCGAATAAACGGCAAAGATCCTGTTGGGTGCAGTGGCTCATGCCTGTAATCCCAGCACTTTGGGAGGCTGAGGCAGGCAGATCACAAGGTCAGGAGATTGAGACCATCCTGGCCAACATGGTGAAACCCCATCTCTACTAAAAATACAAAAATTAGCTGGGCATGGTGGCAGGTGTCTATAATCTCAGCTACTCAGGAGGCTGAGGCAGGAGAATCACTTGAACCTGGGAGGCAGAGGTTGCAGTGAGCCGAGTTTGTGCCACTGCACTCCAGCCAGTGACAGAATGAGGCTCTGTCTCCAAAAAAAAGAAAAAAAGCAAAAGATCCAGCCTCAGATGGCTAAAGGTGGTTACCACTGACCCAGTTCATATAGCTGCACCCCCATGTACTTTCTCTGCCAGTCCACTGTCAGCACTTAACTGAGGATCTCTGATTGAGGGTTGAAACTGAGGCCCAGTTAAGTAAAGTGTTTTGCTTAATTTCATCAAAGTTTTATTTCATGAGAGAGGACTTGTAAGACCTCAGGATAACACTCGTATCTGCGTTCAACCTTTGGGAGATCTGGTTTGGTCAATACAGAAGACCCCAACCAGCTCCCAGACCCAGAGCCAGCACCCACAGAAGCCAGGATGGACTGGAATCAGGTCTCTTGAGAACAGACCTATGCTTTCTCATAAATCTTTGTCTTTAATTTCAAATTTAAGCTTTTTAAAGGGGAAACACTAGACCGACAAAAACTTATATCCCCACTGGCTCCTTGGCAACCAAGAAAGCATAAGAGATGTCTGAGGAAATGAAGCAGTAAGTCTATCTTTGTTAGCAAAGACCCAACACAAAACAACCCATATTTTTTAGCAAAGGTAGCTGTGAGTGCCAGCCTCCTCTGCTGTCTAGATGAAGAACCTTCATATCAACTGAGTTTTCTTGGAGGCATAGTTACAACTCCAGCACAATACTGTGAATCACCAGCAAAACTTCTACAACTCCTGATTTAAAAATGGCAACCCGGCGGGCGCGGTGGCTCAAGCCTGTAATCCCAGCACTTTGGGAGGCCAAGGCAGGTGGATCCTGAGGTCAAGAGATCGAGACCATCCTGGTTAACATGGTGAAACCCAATCTCTATTAAAAATACAAAAAATTAGCTGGGCATGGTGGCACGTGCCTGTAATCCCAGCTACTCAGGAGGCTGAGGCAGGAGAATTGCCTGAGCCCAGGAGGCAGAGGTTGCAGTGAGCCGAGATCGCGCCATTGCACTCCAGCTTGAGCCTGGGTAACAAGAGCAAAACTCTGTCTCAAAAAAAAAAAAAAGGCAACCCATTTGGAAAACCAGCAGGATTGCGCCAAACTTCAGATCAGACCTGACTGCTTAAGAACAACTGTGCTAACAATAACCGCAATCACGAAAACCATCACCATGTCCCCTACCTCACCAGCACTCTCCTACCACGGCCACCACGACCACCGTGGCTTCTACAATCAGCACCATGCCCTGGGTCAGGTAGTGTGCTGAGGGGTTTATGGGCATTATATTTGTTTTGCTGGTTTGCCTTTTACTGCTTATGAAAGAAAATCAGAACAATGTTCAATATTTCCATTGATTTGAAGACTTTGGCTCCCAGTACACTGACCTGTTTATCTGAGCAGAAATGGCATGGAAATTACTTGGTGCATGTCTGCCTATAAATAAACATAATCAAAGGACGCTGGGTTCACACCCTGCATTTCTCACAATAATGCCTTTCAACTGACCACAGAGGAAAGAATATTTTGCTTTAAAGTAGGAAATATTTTGGAGAGAAAAAATAGCATTTTATATTTGCAATTTTTTATACAGTAATTCCACCCCTAGGCATTTATCTCATAGCTTGGATAACAAATGAAATGCTTATGGGGACTAAGAAGTAACAAAAATGACAGACATGGTAGAAGACAGCACGTATTTTCTGGAAGCCCTAGATTTCAGAGTTAGATATTTTCAAAAATAAATAATGATAAAAGTACAAGGACGTTCACCTTCATTACTTGTAATGGTCAAAACCTGTTAAATCCTAAGTCTTTCTTGATAGCCAACTGGCTAAAAAGTCATGGTACATTCGTGTAATGGGCTATCAGCAGCTACGTCCTCATCCACGGTGCACTGGTAAATGTAAAAAGCAAGTTGTGGGCACTGTGTAGCACAAAATTCTATTTTTTCTAAAAGCAGCCTCATACATTGTACTTCATAAATTTTTTTTACCATTTTACAAATAAACTAGCATTGCTTTAATAATTAAGATAATTTTAAATGAAAATAAAGTAATGACATTGCTACTTCCTGAACAATTCTGTCAGGACACAGGAAGAATAAACGTTGCAGTGAAAATCAGACACAAAAAAGAGATGATATGTGGAAATTAAGTCCTGACCTTGCATATTCCAGTGAGGGCTGCCTTACGCTACTGCTCGTTTAACTCAGTGCAAAACCTCTGTGAATAATAGTCAAATCACTCTGAATTTCCATCATTAACAGATTCTGTACCCTAATGGATCTTATTTCCAACAACTGGAGTTTCTTCCCCAAGAAGCAATACATAACAAGCATTCATTGGTCTGCCTTGAGCCCAGCTACTTTTCTGATGTGGCAAGGAGTGTAAAGCACAGCCAGATCTGGGATGGTCCTGAATGCCAGGTGCACGGCACAGACAACCATGGATGGGAAGGCGCCGTGGCATAGTTCCGGCCAGGGCAGTCGTCAGGTTACACCAGAGCTCCCCGGAAAGCCAGGTTTTCATGCTCATGATCTGCAGGCATGGAGCATACCACTTTTATTAAAGCAGCTCAAAGGCAGGGATAAAAAAGAAAGTCTGCACCAGCTTATTTGCTCATTTTGATCTTCCACTTAAGTTTGGATGGTCTTTAAATGTTCTACAAACCCAATTAAACTTAATAAAATGTTAAGATGTAGACTTTCAAAGTTCAAAGTCATTTACTTTAATCTACTTAGTATAAAATTTCCCAATGAAACAAACAAAAAACTCAATCCGGTTTTTTTCAAAAAACCAGTTATGCTTTTTACTCATGTAGATGCAACCCCCATCAGAAATGGAGAAGGGTACCCTTCTTCTCAACCTTTAGTGAAGACAGATAGTGAGTTTGTAAAGATAATAAATCAAATTTTCTCCTTTCTGCAGCCATTAAAACTGGGGGAGGGAAGTGGCTACCAGGAGAGTTATATGGGGCAATTGTACAACCAGAAAATAGGCTGCTGCTGCCTGCACATCTCCTTTCAATAATGAAGAAAGCCTTGTGCTTCTGATACAGTCCAAGAGGAGTAGTTGTCATTTGTCTGTCATGTGTAACTCATGAGTGCCTACCATGTGCCAGGGACCATTCTTGGTGCCAGGGCTATCATGGGCAAACAAAACTCTGCCCTCAGGGACATCACCTTTTCTTGCGAAGGAAACATAGTAAGTGGCAAATTCATATAGAATGTTTATGTATTTGTTGGATTAAATGCTGATAAAGAA